AGAAGGGTCTAGGTTTGCTCGGTAAGGAGGGTTTGCTGAAGAATCTGAAGAAACCTTGCATGGATTTTTGTGAGGATTGTGTGTACGGAAAGACGCACATGGTCTAGTTCTTGAAAAGCAATCACAAGAGCAGAAGTATAGTAGACTATGTGCACACAGATATGTGGGGTCCGGCTCTAACAACTTCTAAGGGTGGTTCCAGGTATTTTGTCTCATTCATAGATGATCATTCGAGATATGCTTGGATTTATTTTCTGAAGCATAAGAATGAGGTATTCGAGACATCAAGAAGTGGAAGGCGATAGTTGAGAATAGGACATGCAAGAAATTAAAGACACTGAGATCTGATAACGGTACAGAGTATACAGACGGTGCTTTCAAGGAGTTTTGTAATCAGGAGGGGATTGCCAGACACTAGACAGTCAGGTCTACACCACAGCAAAATGGAGTCGTGGAAAGACTGAACCCAACACTGCGGGAGAAAGCAGTGAGTATGCGATCATATGCTGGTTTGGGCAAAGAATGGTGGGCAGAATCGATTGCTACAGTTTGCTATATAGTGAATCGATCTCCACATTCGACATTGGACGGTGATACCCTATCGGGTGTGGTCAGGAGAGCATGCAGATTATGAGAGGCTCCGAATCTTCGGGTGTACCGCCTACTATCACGTCAACGAGGGAAAGCTTAACGCGAAGGCCAAGAAGGCAATTTTCTTAGGGTATGCAAAGGGTGTAAAAGGCTATCACCTTTGGTGTACAGAAGATTCGAAGTTCGTGAACAGCATGGACGTTACCTTTGATGAGAAGTCCATGATCATTAGGGTGCCCAAGGATGATAGTGTTGAGACTATTGGGAATTCTAAGTCCCAGGTTATTGATATAGAACCTAAAGACCAACCAGGTTCTAGTCATGTTCAAGTAGAAAATCAGGTAGATGATGAGCTTGAGCACGAGGAGGTTCAAATAACAGTAGCTCGAGGATAGCTTGGCTTCCACTAGGCCAAGATGAGCATACAAGAAGGTACAAAAGCTGGAGGCTGATCAACCCCTGAAGCACTATGGGCAGGTTAATTTGGTTGAGTACGCACTCTCGGTGGAGGAAGATGAGTCGGTCTCCTTCAAGGAAGCTATTCGGGATAGAGATAGCGAGAATTGATTGGCTACGATGAAGGAGGAGGTGGAATCTCTCCGGAAGAACCAAACATGGGAGGTGGTCCCATTGCCCATAGGAAAGAAAGCTATAGGTTGTAAGTGGCTGTATAAAAAAAAGAAGATCCTTCAGAGATTGGTGGTACGAGGTATAAGGCGAGGCTAGTGACTAAGGGTTTTGCACAAAGGGAGGGTGTGTATTACTAATTTTCTTCAGTGGTGAAACACAGCTCTATTCGGGTGCTATTGAGTATTGTTGTTCATGGTGATCTTGAGCTGGAACAACTCGATGTAAAGACGGTCTTCTTGTACGGAGACTTGAATGAAGAGATCTATATGCATGAACCTAAGGGTTACAAGGTTGGGGACAAGGAGAATCATGTATGTCGCTTGAGGAAGTCACTTTACGGATTGAAGCAATCTCCGCGACAGTGGTACAAGCGATTTGACTCCTTCATGCTGAAGCATGAGTTTTTCCGAAGCGACTATGATTGTTGTGTTTACATTCGGAAGCTTCGCGGAAGTGATTATATCTATCTCCTTTTGTATGTGGATAACATGCTTATTGCATCGAAGAACAAGATGGAGATAGATAAGCTAAAATCTCAACTTAGCAATGAGTTCGAGATGAAGGACATGGGCGCTGCAAAGAAAATACTGAATATGGAGATTAGAAGAGAGCGGACGAATCGGCGATTGTTCTTGAGTCAAAAGGGCTACATAAAGTAGGTGATCGCTAGGTTCGGGATGCAAAGTGCAAAGTCGGTGGCAACTTCATTGGCTCCGCACTTTAGGCTCTCAGGTAAACAATCTTCCATTACGGCGGAAGATAAGGCATACATGGAGCGTGTTCCTTATGCCAGTACAGTTGGCAGTTTGATGTACGCCATGGTGTGTACACGTCCAGATGATTCACATGCGGTTAGTGTGGTTAGCAGGTTCATGGCGAATCCGGGAAAGACGCACTGAGAAGCGGTGAAATGGGTCCTGAGGTACTTGAAAGGTACCTGGGATACGGGTCTGTGTTTTGATAGAGATACATGTCAGATCGACGGGTATGTGGACTCTGATTATGCAGGTGATCTAGATAGATGCCGATCTACTACTGGTTATGTATTCAGGATACATAGAGCTTCAGTTAGTTGGCGATCGATGTTACAGGCTACAGTAGTACTTTCAACAACAGAGGCCGAGTATATGGTCATGACAGAGGGAGTGAAGGAAGCATTGTGGTTGTGGGGTCTTCTAGACGATTTGGGGATCGAGCAGGAAAGTGTGAACCTGTGGTGCGACAGTCAAAGTGCGATTCACTTGGCAAAAAATCAAGTTCACCATACTCGTACCAAGCATATCGATGTCAGATATCATTTTGTGTGGGATGTCATAGAGGAAGGCGATATTTTTCTCATGAAGGTGCATACGAATGAGAATCCCGCGGACATGTTAACCAAGGTGGTCACATGTAGCAAGTTTCAACATTGCTTGGACTTGCTTCATATCAGCCCGTGTTGATTTGTCCAAGAGGGCATGGCCCTGCGGGTCAGTGATGAAGATGGAGACTATGTTGAAGAATAATTACAGAATGACGGTTAACTTGATCCCGGTGGAGGGTACGTAGACAGTCGCGGTATAGTGACGCAGCTGGTTTGGCCTAGTTTGGCCTGGATCTCTCTGGTGATGTTCGTGGGATTTCTCCTGGTGTTCGTTCAAAATTTAAGGTTTATCAAATGATGAACGAGGTGGAGAATTGTGAAACGCGAGGAAGGGGGGGACCCACCTACTGTAGGCGCATCGCGCTGTCGTCCAGAGCACGCGAGCGACGTGAGGGGGGGTCCCACCTACTGTAGGTGCTCGTGTTCATGCCTGTCCAGCCATGCCGTGTTCGTGTGCTGTCGTCCATCTCGCGCCGGAGACAGCCACGCGCGCCACCTTTGCCACGACGAGGCGCGCCTGCCAGCCCACGTCGCCTCGGGTTTGTGCGCGAAATTTTTCCCGCGTGCCCGCGCTTGTTCGCCCGCCTAAAATTCGGGTTTGCCCCCCCTATGTTCTCTCCTATAAATAGGAAAGGGGTGGAGGAGTTTAGGTGTGGGGAAAAATACTAAGTGGGTAATTCTTGAGTGGAGTGTTACTTGAGAAGAAAAGAAAGGAGTGAGAGAGAGCTTGTAATAAGTTTGGTATTCTCCTCATAGTGAAAACTCCCTCCCGTGGACGTAGGCTAGTTAGCCGAACCATGTAAATCTCGTGTTTGTATTTGTCTTATCTGTGAGTTGCCATAGCTTGTAGGTTCCCTCGACATTTCAGTCTTAGAACTGATGAGAGGAAGAGTGTATATTTCACTTTGATAAAATATATCACTTTCGATTCTTGTTTCCTTTGAGAAATAAGAATTTCACTATCTATTCTAGTTTCCTTTGAGAAACAAGAATATAGAGGTCGACTTGTGCTTTTGTGAAAACGAAAGCCAGGACTATCTCTCAGGTGATATCGCTTCCGCGGCGTGAGGGCGTGACTCTGCGCCCAACACTTATCGTCCCTCATTGCTCAAGTCTAAAACCGTCTTTCATTTTTCTTCAAATAGAATAACCTCTGGCTTCTTATATGATCTTGTTAAGTTCTTTTAGGCACTGAGACGTTGTCTATTAATTGGTAGGATTTTCCAGTGTCTCGGTGGGATGAGGAAGTAGCCTAGTGTAAGGAAACATACTAAAGACAACTAGACAAATTATTTTGAGAAAATATTAAAGGCAAGATCTGATGTGGTCAAACTTGCTTAATCCAAATGATATCTAAATTAACTCCCAGCTGACAGGTTCTGTGAACAATTGGTTTTGATAATTAAGTGCTAAAGATTTTCATGTTGTTCTTGTAGAAGTTATGGAATATGTTTGTCCGGGTGAGGCTAAAGTAGCAAAGCCTGCTGAAACCTATTAAATGCAAAAGCAGCTATGGTCAATCTTGCTTAATTCAAATGGCAACTGCATTAACTCACAAAACCTGAGAAAATTAAGGAATAAGCTTGGAGAGGTAATGGAGTAGGCACCTAGTATAATGAAACATGTGAAAGAGAAGTCCTTTGAGAGAATATTAAAAGAGGAGCTAGCTATGGTCAAACTTGCTTAATCCAAAAAATATCTGAAGTAACTCACAGCTGACAGGTTTTGGTTATATGCTAAATATTTTCTTCTTGTTCTCGTAGAAGGTAAGGAATATCTTTGTCCTGGTTGGGTGCTGGAGTAGCATAGCATGACGAATCCTATTAATTGCAAAAGCAGTTATGGTCAAACTTATTTATTCCAACTGATAGACTCCATGAGTCACATCATGCTATGATCCAAAATCCTGTATTGACCCATATTCACTTCTTCATCCCTCTATATAAGTTGGCAACTGCTTCCTTTCTTTTTCTATTGGTGGGCAATTCCTTAGATTATCCTGCAAGGGAGGTATAAGGCTCTCCTAGTTGTTTCTTTCCTTGTTTCCCTTTACATCGATTGATCTCTTAGTTAATGTTTTGTCTACTTAGTTGTATTGAGTGGAGTTGTCAAATGAACATCAAATTAGTCTAATCTAATGTGCACCACGTTGCTGTTAACTCTGCATTGAAGTACTTGTGCTTTTAGTAATACATCTTCATAAACTAGCTTTGTGTCAAGAACCAACTCGATGAGTTGAATTCCATAATCTGTGATGATCCATGTGTGTCTTTTATTTCCTTTTTCTGGATTTTAAGGCATTAAGTCAGTTACGTACTCGTTGATTCCAAATTTCTAATGTGCGGGTGCTTTCTAATTTGTCCAGGCAGAGCTTTACATGCTTCATCAGCTGACAGGTACTAAGCTCTCTTTATCCAAGCATTTTATATGCTACACTAAGGTCATGCCTTGTTTTACGTTGCGCCCATTTTGTGTCAGTTGTATATTTTTTTATACCAAAATTTTATAGACTATTGAGATATGAACAAGTTAATTTAGGTGTAGTAAATGTCTTTCTTTATGGATATATCCACCCTTTGAATCCAGTGTTGAAACCTTCTTTCTAGTTGGCAATGAGTTTAAAATCCAAGAAGGGATTTTACCCATTTTTGGGTAAGAAGAGCAATTATCCGTTACTGGTGGCTTTTTTACTTTTAATGTGTGGCACCGGGGGAGCGACGGTCACAGAAAAGGAGCCAGAGCGACCGAAAGGACTCAATAACCCAGCGGTCAAGACTCTAACGGTTGTTGCTTAACTATTATGTTTCATCTTTAATCATATGTAGCTAAACATTTAGTAAGGAGTTGATTTGTTATGTTTACAGACCGAGGATGGTGATATTATCGATTGTGTGGATATCTACAAGCAACCTGCCTTCGATCATCCACTACTCAGAAACCATACGATCGAGGTTCTTCTTATATTCAAAGTCTGTCTATTTCTAGTTTTGGACACCGAATAGTTCTTCTGGTACTAATTTTATTTGCATAATAGATGAGGCCTAGTTTTATTCCAAGGGTAGCGGAAGGCAACGGTTCCCTCAGATTTTTGACGCGACAGATTTGGCAAAAGAACGGAAGCTGCCCTGTAGGAACAATCCCCGTTCAAAGGATTCGAGAAACGAACTTTACTAGGATAAGTGGCGCCTCAAAAAACTTCAGTTCGGATGCAGAGTTTGCCAATTGCAGAGTAGAGGTGAATGAAAAATTTAGTATGGCGAATTATGTATAGTAATGTTTTTTTTTCTTTTTCTCTTCTACATTAGTTTTCCTAAATGCAATACGCCTTTATGAATAATTAGATTGCTCGAGTAGAGAATCATAGAGGCGGCCCCCATTTTGGAGCACAAGGTACCATTAGCGTGTGGAATCTAGATGTGATGATGATGGAATGGAGCTTAAACTCAGTTACTCTGTTTGATGTTCACGACTCCTTTATGGAAGCTGGATGGGCGGTATGCTAGTTTTTGTCATGAGAAACTTTAGCATTTGTCAAAGTAACGGTTCAATTAAGCTACTAGGTAAATTTAAGGAGCATGCATTTAAGTGATTGAAGAACTCTGACGGTTCCATTTCATCTCTGAATTTGGGAAGGATCTCCAGTTTCCTTTTAGATGTTATTTGTTGATATTTTTTATTTGAAATGGCTTCCAAGCTAAGTCGCATCGCATGCAAACTGGTATGGGACATAGCAAATTTGTGAAATGTAGGCTATGGAAAACACGGCTATTATAATATATATATAATTATATATATATATATATATATATATATATATATATATATATATTAGAGAGAGAGAGAGAGAGAGAGGAGAGAAGAGAGCAATATGGGTATGCTTGGTACCAAACACAAAAAAGTTGTGCATATATATATATATAGAGCAATATGGGTATGCTTTGTGTAGCCAAGCACAAAAAGTTGTGCCTTAGTAGGATGTGTCACATCCCCTCCACTCATTCAAATTATGGGACCACATTCACATGGGTAGTGATAGTGGATGAGGATGTGACACATCACTACCAAGCACAAAATTTATGCTGGTACCAAGCATACCCATTTTATTCTCATATATATATATATATATATATATATATATATATATATATATATATATATAAATTAATAATTTTCATTAGATCATTATTATTTTTCAACTTATGTGCCATTTGAATTTAAATTCCTATCATTTTTTATGTTTCTTTCATTATGTTGATTATTATAAATTGGAAACTGCTCGTTTTTTAACTAGACATTCAAATCACCCTTTTAAATCATAGTTTTTAACTTGGACATGGGCCGAAACAATCAGACCTATGTCTAACAAGTTTCAATAAATGGACATGAAGTGTAGGATATAAGTTCAAGAAGTGTATGACGATTATTTTAAATTAAAATAAATAACGTATAATTGAGCACATGTCTTGGTAAACGTATGCATATATCCAAGGAGTGACCATGAAGTTTGGGTAGGGGTAAGTGTCAAGTACGAGTCTGGTACGGGTACAACTTCACGATAGAAGCACCCGACTATCATATCTTCTAAGTCTCTATATATCTTATGATGGTATGAAATAAGAAATGCTGCAAATTATATTGCTCTGTTTTCACTACATTATGATCTACATCTCTTTTGTTTCAGGTTGGCCCAATTTTATTTGAAGATGTTAAACCGCGATTATTTGTCAATTGGCTGGTATGATTTCTTTTGCCACACATCTCTTTTCTCATATTCTTTCAAGTTACACTTTTCCTATTGTCCAAGACCAAAAAAGCTGGTTAGCTTTCTATTATTTGACTATCATGCTTTTTGTATGGAACGCAATGCGATAATTAGACACTTGATATATCATGATTTTCTATCTAGTTGTTATAATTTGGTACAGGATACATCTGCTGACATGGGCTGTTTTAACCTAAGATGTCCCGGTTTTGTCCAAGTATCAAACTGGATCGTGCTTGGGGGAGTCCTACCGAAGATCTCAACGTTCGACGGGGACCAATTTTCCTTCACCTTTACAACCTATTATGTATAATTGTTTCTCTATCTGACAGCGAATCATATCAAAATCCTAAAATCCTAATTCTTAAATTGATATTATGGCAGGATTAAATGGTGGATGTTATTCGAAGGCGAGCCAGTGGGCTACTGGCCATCATCCTTGTTTGAGAATTGGGAAACTGGTCCCCGTGTTAACTGGGGTGGAAGCGTGTGCAATACTGAGTACCAAAATTATCATACGTTGACTCAGATGGGGAGTGGTCATTTCCCAAGAGAAGGGTGGAGGAGGGCTAGCTATGTTCGAAATCTTATTGTCATGACGCCTAACCTTGATCCTGTACCTCCAAGGCATTACAAAAACTCGGCTACATCTGGTGGTTGTTATGGCGTGGGAGATGCTGCGCGTTTTCCAGGTGACCTAGGACCAGCTATATACTATGGAGGGCCTGGAGGCAAATGCTGTAATGGGGGTTGTAAGAAGTGAATGTTAGTGTTTGCACCGCGACGATAGCTAAGAACGTTATTGGCAGTGTCAATGAAGTCGGTCACAGGTGTTTGCACTGTGATGATAGCTAGGAATGTTATTGGCAGTGTCAAAGAAGTCAGTCACAAGTGATGTTTGCTGAATAAGTATAATGATGTGGATCCTGTTTTTGTTCTCATTGATCGGGAGTCTTCGCTTGAAACTAATGAAGAAAAAATTTCGATTACCGCAGTCTGTGCTGCTGCATCTTAGTGTGCCTTCTGTTTGATATTTCAAAGGTGTGTAGATTGCGGGTGAATTTTTATTGATATAGGGAGAAAGAAGTTTAAAGAGCGACATTTATGCTATTCCTGACAAAAGTTGACTTGCGTATACCCTCCAATCCATACACTCCATGATATAGGTTTGCAGGTCTGATTTGCCTCTTGGTTTAAATTTCGATTGGAAGAAATAAGCGTATTCATTTTCATTGCTCTAATTGTCTCTACTAATTTCATCATTTCAGCTCAGAAATGCACAATGGCAAATCACTTTGACAGAAATTCTTCGTGGAATTCATTTTTCAGTAACTGCACTTCTTGGGTTATTGTTCTTGTCTAGTCTGTATCATGCTGTCGTTGTGTTCATGTTTTTTCTCTCTTTTATTGAATATGCCTCTGAGAAAGCGTATCAAATTGCATATGTTCTAATTCACTAGCTGTTGAAGTCAGCAGCTCCCCCCCCCCACCCCACCCCAACTTGCAACAATAATCAACAACCCCTTAATAATGTTTACCTACCCCTAAACCAATGTTGTAAATAACCCCCAAGTGTTTGTGTTAGATCCATCCCAGTAGCAGAGAGAGAGTATTTGTATTTGAGAATATAGTGTGTTTGTATCACTAAAGAAATAATAACAAAATATTTCTTGGCGTCCACCACTCCACTCAACTCAACAAGTGGTATTAGAGCTTGGCTTAGGGTGCATGTATCTGCTTATCGTATGCTTTGTGGCTACCACCAAAGGTGGATCATCCATATCAGAAAATAAGTTATATTATCATTTACCCTTTAAAGGTACTGAACACTATTTACGAGTACGGTAGTATTCATACGTATGATTACTATTCACAAGTAAGATTACTGTTTATAAGTATGGTTACTGTTTACTTAAAATAGTAAAAGTTGAAGCTCGTGGTAGAAACAAGGCGATCAGGGACCTACTCTCTCCTACAGTGATCCTATCGGCATTCTTGAAGGCCGAAGTTCTTGCTCAGTCCGGGACTGTGAAGTTGGTTGATCAGGGACCAGACTTGCGCGGAGATATTGAAGCAATACCACATCACGATGGCGAATCTAGCAAATACGACTACTACACTCAAGAAACTCAATGGTAATAACTATAACTACTGGGAGACATGTATGAATTGCTATTTATAAGGACAAGACCTCTGGGAGGTCATCGGGGGTGCTGAAACTACAGCACATCGGGAAGCTAGGAAAGCACTAAGAAAGTGGAACATCAAAGCCGGCAAGGCTATGTATGTGTTGAAGACGACAGTAGAAGAAGATCTTATAGACTATATGCAAGATGCTAGAACTCCGAAGGAAGCATGGGATATGCTCGCGGTACTCTTCTCGAAAAAGAACGATGCTCGGCTTCAACTCTTGGAGAATCAATTGATGACCTTGCAACAGAATGATCTGATAATCAGTTAGTACTTCAAGCAAGTAAAATCACTCTAATAAGATATTTCTCAACTATATCCAGATTCTAAAGTATCCGATGCAAGGATGAGGAGAATAATCATCTACGATTTGAGACTGGAATATCACGGACTCGTTGCTGCTACACATGGGTGGCCGACTCAACCAACATTATTAGAGTTAGAGAGTTTGGTCGCTACACAGGAAACCCTAGCCAAGCAAATGGCTGTCGTTTCAATAAAAAGCAAAGATGAAGCACTATTCACTAGCAATGAGAGAGGAAAGCAAAGAGGTGCGAGGAAAGAGGAGTATGGAAAGACTAGTTCAAGGAGTTAGTCCAGACGACCATACACCGATAGAACACAACAACGTAAGGAGCAATGTGATTATCGAGCAAGGAGACCTGACAGTAGCTGCTACAACTGTGGGAAGAAAGGATACTTTGTCAGAGACTGCCACTATAAGAGAAGACCTGCAGAGGGAAATGCTGCAACATCACGCAGATGTCAAGATGATGAAGAAGAATGGGATATCCAAGCACCCATAGCCAATTTTAAAGATGTAACAGTCGACGAAGACGAGGTTATTGGTATGACACTAACCTTATTTGTGGAAGAATCTGAGTCCGCATTTGCAGCGGTTTCAGATCGAGAAGAAATCAGTTATAATAAAAATTGGATAGTCGGTTTTGGCTGTTCCAACCATATGACGGGAGATAAGGGGAAGCTTGTCAACATGAAGGAGTATAAAGGTGGCCGAGAAGTTGTGATAGCGAATAATTCAAGATTACCTATCACACACATCTGAAAGACTGTATTTACATCGTGTTATAACTCGAATCGGATACAACTATAAGATGTATACCATGTACCAGGTATGAAAAAGAACCTTCTATATGTTTCCCAATTAACAGCTTCTGGAAACTATGTAATATTTGGGCCACAAGTGTAAAAGTCTATCGAAATTTGAAGCTACTAGGAGAACCTGTCATGAAGGGACGAAAGGTAGAATCTGTCTATGTGATATCGGCAGAATCGACATACTTAGATAAAGCCAAAAAAGAATGAGACGACTGATCTGTGGCATGCTCGGCTTAGCCATATGAGCAATCACAAGCTCAAGATTATGACGGAAAAGTCAATGCTGAAGGGGCTTCCACACTTAGAGATTCGAGGAGGGACCAAATGTGGAGGTTGTCGGTATGGTGAGACGCATCAATTACTATACCATGAGTCACAATTCAGAGCAAAGGAATCTTTGGAGCTCATGTACTTAGATGTATTCGACCGAGTGAAGCAGGAATTGAGAAATGGCATGCGATACATGATCACCTTCATTGATGATTACTCGAGATATGTCTGAGTTTATTTCCTAAAGAAAAAGTTAGAAGCACTCTCTAACTTCAAGCAATTTTGAGAAGAAGTCGAAGGAGAACGCAGCAAGAAGATTCGTTGCCTACGCATAGACAACGGGGGAGAGTACACATCAAAGGAGTTTTATGACTATCGGAAGCAGCACAAGATTTTGCAACAGGTAACATGCCCAAATACCCCGCATTAAATGGCATAGCCGAAAGAAAGAATCGTCATCTCACCAAAATTTGTAGAAGCATGCTTCATGCCAAAAATGTATCAGGACATTTTTGGGCTGAGTGTATGAAAACTACGATGCATGTGATCAATCGGCTACCACAATCAAAAATGAAGTTCATATCACCATTTCAGAAGTTGTGAAATATCAACTCAACTATAAGGCATTTCAGAGTTTTTGGTTGCGTATGTTATGTGTTTTTTGCCTGATCATATTCACAACAAGTTTGACATAAAGGTTGTAAGGTGTATTTTTGTGGGGTATGAAGGTGAAAGAAAAGGATGGAGGTGCTGTGATCCAACAACTGGACAATGTTATACATCAGGAAATGTTATATTTGATGAAGACTCATCTTGGTGGGCTTTACAAAAAGTTGAACTACTAGATTCTAAAGATCTTGAGGATCGACTACAAGAGAAATTAGGAGAGCAAAGTCAAGAAGAAGACTTACGTCTATCAGAGAAGACAAAATCAAGCTCTTTAACATCTTCAAAGGAGAATAATTCATGAAAAACTGGTGTTTATCAGACAACACCAGAAGAAGAGCGCCCGAGCCAGATAAAGGTCATTGAACAAGAATCAATTGAAAAACTTTGAAGATCAACAAAACCTAGAAAGCTGAATCCTAAGTATGTTAATGCTTTATGAAAGATGTGAAGGAGCCATCTAGCTTTGAGGAAGCATACAAAATTGCTGAATAGAGACGAGCAATGGAGAAAGAAATTCAAACTCTACAGCAAAACCAAACTTGAGAGTTGGTGCTGAAGCCTAAAGATGTTAAATCAATCTCCTGCAAATGGGTTTACAAAGTCAAGACTCGAGTGGATGGGTCGATTGAGAGATACAAAGCATGCTTGGTCACTCGATGATTCTCTCAATAGTATGGACTGGATTACGACGAGACATTCAATCCAGTTGCTAAAATAACAACAGTTCGAGTTCTTCTAGCTCTACCAGCCAGCAAGAGTTGGAAGCTTTAGCAGATGGACGTGAAGAACGCATTTCTATAGGGTGAGGTGGATCAAGAGATTTACATGGAGAAACTCATCAGATTTGAGAGTAAGGAAAAGGAAAGATATGTTTACAAACTAAAGAAAGCTCTCTACGGACTGAAACAAGCTCCGAGAGCTTGGTATGATAAGATTGATGAGTTTTTAATTTAAAGTGGATACTTTCTTGCTCCTGCAGATTCTAGTTTATTTGTCAAACGGACTGGCAATAGGCTAGCAATCGTATTGGTATATGTGGATAACTTAGTCCTAACTAGAGACTGTAGGCGTCGAAAATTGCCTATAGGTCTCCACGAACATCTCAGTGTTAAGAAATAACGATGAACGTCACC